GTAAAAAAAATTTCCCTTTCTCTATAACCTCCCCAGTATTTGTTTCTATTATTAATATAGTCATTTGGATATCTCATTGCAGTTTTGATGGGCATTTCTCTGATGGCTAGGGAGCAAGTAGCATATTCTTGTATTAAAAAATACTGGATTGTTTTGTGAAAGAATATGGCATGTGTGTTTGTATACTGTAAATATATGTACATGTGGCTGGATGTCCATGTGCAAACACATGAAGCAATCCCTAAATCTTTGTGAAGTTAAACTTTATGAAGTCTATATAAAGCTATATATTTATAAATACCATATAAGATTTTAGCTACTTGTAGTTATTTAATACTTAGATTTTTGCTTTTATGTATTTATGTTTTTCTGTTTGAAAAATGAGGCAAAATATAAAAAAAGTTAAATTCATAAAATTAAATGAATATAAAAAGAACTTGAGTTCTTTCCTTGAACTGATGGCAAATAAAAAACATTGCACAAACAAACCAGACTTGGGAACAAAGGAGATACTGAGAGTGAAAAACCTCTGGAAAATATTCAAAATTACAGGGTCAGTCTCAGGTTTTTTTAAATTATTTTTTAATGTGTATGCATGAGTGCCTGCATGTGCATATTTGTACCACATGCATGTTTAGTGTCCACCAAAGCCAGAAGAGGGTGTCGAAAAAACAAACAAACCCAAATAAATATTCATGTGTGTGCATGTGTGTATCTATGATTGCATTTATCCAAGTGTGAGGGTGTTTGTGTTTTCTAGCTAGGCTGGAGTCCAGCAAGCCCAGAGAGAGACCTTCCTCTAGCTACTCCTTTTTGAGCTGGGATACTAAGAACTGGCAGAGAGGCCTAGCTTGTTATGTAGGTACTAGTATCTGAACTCAAATCTTCATTATTGAACAAGTGCTCTTAGCCACTTGCACTATCTCTGCATCCCCCAATCTAAGATTTTTTTAAGGACTGTAAGAATGGCCTTAAGTGTGGTGGTACTGCATGCCTACCAGCACTAGGGAGGCTGAGGCAGATCCCTGTGAGTTTGAGGCCAGTCTGGTCTACAGAGCTAGTTCCAGGACAGCCAAGGCTGTTACACAGAGAAACCCTGTCTTGAAAAACAAAAAATAAAATAAAATAAAAAACAAACAAAAACCCTGGCTTTAAAATACCTCAAGCTAAGATTGGCAAATGAGAAAAGGAACCAGGTAATATATGAATTCCTTAGGGGAGGGAGAGGTTAATAGAACATTAAAAAAAAAAGTTGGTGTGAAGGCCTAGACTTGACTTTATAGGCTCCATTTTAGGGAAAGGGCCACCATCTCAGACCACCTGCTGTACTCAGTTCCAGAAAGGACCTCAGGAATGTGCCATGACAACTTGAAGAGATACAGGGCAGTATGCTCCTGCAGGCATCCTGTCTGTGGTTTATGGCCCTTGAAGATATCTAGATAATCCTGCTGAGCAGTCCAGATAATCCTGTTCATCAGGTTGTGGTTTCCTGACAAAAATCTAACCCAATGGTTTCAAATGTGGTTTCATGCCCGAAGTCTAGACCAATAGTTTCAAAAAAATCACCTTGCCCCATATCCCTTCTACCCAAACCCAAATTGCCAATTCCTGGCTTGTGGTCTTTCCCTATAAAAACTCTATACCTGGGCTTGTGGCCGCCACCACATTTACTTCCATCTGTCCTGCGGTGGCCCAGGTTGAACCTGAATAAAAGGACCCTTATGTGCTTGCATTGGAAACCGGCTTCTAGGTGGTCTCTGGGGGTTTTGCTAAATGGGTACTATAGTTGGAGTAAGTGGAGTTGAAAGAAAGTATCCAGAAGACTGAGGAGGGAGAATTGTCTGTGTTGCCCCTCCCCCACTCTTAGAAGCCCTTTGTGATGTTGAGACCTGGCTTTGTGATGGGGAGTCCCCAGCTCTGTGACCTGGGTTATCCTTCACCTCCCAGGGAGAACTCCCACCAGTTCCATTCAGATGGAGACTCTTTCCTCTCTTCTAGATAGAATATACACCACATGGGTGAGCCTCAGCTCCACTATGTGGGTAATGGACATGATCCTTGCCTTTGTATGTGGACTGGGGCTCTACCTCCTGTTACTTCCCTTCCTTGAGAGTCATCTATCTTCACCTCTACCAAATATAAAGTTTACCAACAAGGTAAGAAACTCTCAATCTAATCTAACAGAATCTAACAGAGAATTCTCTCTCTCTCTCCTCTTTCCCTCCCTGTCTTCCCTCTCTCCCTCTTTCTCTTCCTTTCCTCCACCCTCCCTCTCATTCTTCCTGTCTCTGTGTATATCTCTTAATTTTTAAATTAGCATACAAAGTTTTGGGTTTAATAATGGGATCTTCAAACAAACTTTGTTTTCGTTGTTTGCTGCCTTCCATCTCCCTTTCCTCCCTCATCCCCCTCCCTACCTTGTCTGTGTTCCTCCACTCCCCACAAGCCTCTTTTTGACTTTCATGTAATATGGGTTCTTTTGCCCATCTCCCCTACCTCAACACCACATTTTAGTACAAACTTCCACAAATCAAATAGAGAGATGGCTGGGGAGCCATGTCCAAAAAGAACAGAAATCTATTCTCCTTGTAGCTGGTGGGGCAGGGTTGAGAGAGGACACCAGGGCATCTATCTGGAGCTCACAGTATGTCTGTGAGGTGTGCTGACATGCCAGGGTAAACTTGAATGGCATGATTTCATGGATAGGATCTGCATTCTTGATAGAGTTGGGGATCTCTTTATCAGAGATAGGACAAGCATTGAACACTGGTTCATATATTCCCTTCTTCTGTATAATCCTTTCCTTTGTGATGGGTTGTCTGAGGGTTGAGCTGAGCCTCAAGGGGTATTAGATCAGAGGCCAGAGTGACATCTGGCTTCAAGAAACAGAATTCTACCTGGCAACTATCTACAAAGCAGCTACAAAGGTTTGACTCTTGAGCAGAAGAACAGTGACTGTAGATATCCATGATTGGGCTCACAGTGCATCTATTGGAAAACCAAAGAAAAATATCAGGTGTTCTGCTCTATAACCCTCTCCTTAAATTTCATTAGACAGAGACCTTGCAACCCCAGTGCTATGGGAGGCAGTGACAGGAGAGGATCTCTGGAATTTGGTGTCTCCTAGCCCAGCCCCAAGTTCAGATCCTCTCCTATCTCTGCCTCCCATAACACTGGGGTTACAGGCACATGTGCAACTACATGGCTTCTTACATGAGTGATGGGAACCTGAACTTAGGTCCTCATATAACAATGTTCTTATCCACTAGGCCATCTCCAAGGCTCTCTTTTTATATTTCTTAAAGAAAGAAAACAAGTTGGCAAAAGTGCTCAATAAGTAAGTTTTTGTTTTGTAAGCATGAAGATCTGGATTCAGATACTCAGCACCCAATCAGAAAGCTGGGCATAGTGATATGTGTCTGTAGTCTTGGTGTTGGGAAAACAAATCCAGAAGGATCCCTGAAGCTTCCTGGTCAGCCATCGAGTCTGACTGCATCAGTAAGTTCCAGGTTGAGTAAGAGACTCTGTCTTTAAAACTTAGAGTGACAGGAGAATACTGCCATGGATCTCTGGTCTCCCATATTCATACACATTTGCACATACATGAGAGGGGGAGAGAGAGAGACAGAAAGGGGGGAAGAGAGACAGAGACAGAAAGAGAGAGACAGAGAGACAGAGAGGAGAAATAACAAGTGTTTGTTTGCATTCACTTTAAAAATGTGAAGTTAAAACAACAAAAAAGCAGAACCACTTGCCAAGCTTGGTGGTGTACTTCTTTAAACCCAGTACTAGGAAGACAGAAGTAAGTAGATCTCTGGGAGTTTAAGGCTAACCTAGTTTATATAGTTAATTCCAGGCTAGCCAGGGCTGGGGAGATAGATGTCTTAGCATTTAAGAACACTTGCTGTTCTTCCAGAGGAACCAAGTTTGCTTCCAGAACACATAGCCCACAACCACCCATACTCTAGTTCCAGATCCAATACACACTATTCTGGCCTCTGCTACTGGTCAGGCACACATCACGCACACACACACACACACACACACACACACACACACACACACACACACACAAACACACAGCATTAATCACATATCAAATTTAAAAATTCATGAATATCTGCAGCTTCTCTAGATGAGAATGAAAACCTCTCTCTCTCTCTCTCTCTCTCTCTCTCTCTCTCTCTCTCTCTCTCTCTCTCTCTCTGTCTATTTCTCAGCCTCACCTGCAGATGACCTGGCAGAGCTGGTGCAGGAAAAAGTTTAGGACTCGTTGTAGGAAAGATCCCAAAGGTAAGTCAGTCTCTGCCATTCACTTGCCTGTGAGGAGCTAACACCATGTTTCCCAGGTGAGTTGCAGAGGCCTAAGAGGGAGGTTCCTGGGAAGGAAATAACAATAGCATGCTCAGGTTCCTGTCTTAGAAGAAAACTATAATGAGCCAGCTGACAGGTGTTCCTAACAGGGATGTCTCTGGACTATTAGGAGCAATGTTAACCAGGATTTGGAGGTGGGATCTTGAGTAAAGCTGATTCTTTTTTGAGGTGACCCCATCCTTTCTCCCATAAGTCAGTTAGAAGGATCATGGAGGGTGACAGCTATGGGAGTTACTTATAAATGAATAAGTGCTGTCCATCCATCTACCTTGAGAACACTGTCAGTCATGGATCACATGACCTTGCTCTAGAATCACATGATCAGGCTCTAGAATCTAATCTCATAATCTTTTCTAATGGGGCACCCACAAATTTAACTTACTATAAAAACCCTATGCCCTACCTTCCGTCATCATAACCCAGTCTCCTAATTTCCAGCTTGGGGAGAATGCCTGAAAAAGCTGAAAGAAAAAGGAAAAGATGGATTATTTCTAGAAGAAATTAGCCCAGGACACCATTTGAATTCTTTAGGGAACATGTTTAAGTCACCAAGTACTAAGCAAGACAGTACTACTCTGCCACCTTTCTGGAACCTGAAAGAAAAATCAGAGCAGCAGATGGCCATTCAGAAACTATCATATCCCAAGATTTTGGGGGACCACTTTCAACAGAAATACAACCAGCTTTTCTGGGGTCTTCCTTCTCTGCACAGTGAATCTCTAGTGGCTGCTGCCTGGATCCCTCAGACTTCTACTCTCCCTTCTCCCTTTTTCTTATTCAATGTCATCTCAAGTGGTTATCCAGTTCAAATGCAGGCTCAAATGTCTTCAGTGCTTTCCCACACACATCCCCTGTCCTACCTGGACCTCCAATCTCCACCCTTAATACTGTCTCCACCCCAATTCCAGCCCCCAACTTTGAATCAAGTCCATCTTCAATCCTCTCTTCCAGCCCTACTGCCCTCTTCTCTATCCTACACAAGGGATTATGGAACATCTTGTTCTCAGTCACAAAGTAAGCCACAGTGTCTCCCTACTGAAATACAATACAGGGAAAGACCCTCAGTGACAAAACAACTAGAAAGTAGATTGGCTTTACCCTTGATGGTGCAGAGACCCCAAGAAGTCTATGATGTCTTGACCTCCAACATTTCCCAAGACTTGGCAGTCTCTATCCTTCCTGACAATTTTCCAATTAGCTGTGAGCTCCGGGAGAAACTGGAGCAGCACATTCAAAAGTGGCTCATTCAACACCGATGGGATCTTCCTCAGAAGATCCAAGAATCTCTGGAAGTGATGCAGCTTCAGAGCACAGTAATAGAAAGTTGTCAACCCAGAGAGAGACCTGGCCCCTCAAGACCCTTTGTGTCTATGGGTGAACATAGCATGGATGGCCAGAAGGTGAGATTCAAGCTAGAAAGGGAATCTGGTAAGAATTTGGGACCTATTCTAGGAAAGATCTCAAAACATCCAATCAAGCACTTGGAAAAAAGTCCAGTAAAGGTAGAAGGGACAAATCTTTCAGAGTCAGAAAGAAATCCAGTAAAGAGCTTGAAGAGCGACTCCAGAAATAACTTAACCAAATGCATAGACGAGAATCTAGAAAACGGCCTGAAAGCTCATTTGGGCACAAAGTCAGGGCAAATCAATCAAGGTCTGATCCCTCTGAGTGTGCGTCGATCCTGGCTTGCTATGAACAATGGATTTACCACGCCGGACACCCATATGGAAACTAGAAACTTAGCATCCTCGAAGAGTTCAGAGAAGTCTGTGAGCTCTTTACGGAAGCTTGCCTTTCTTGATCCAGGCATTCAACAGGCCCTGGAGGCACATGTTGTAAGGTTTTGGGTGAAGCACAGGTGGGGCCTTCCCCTCAAGATACTCAAGCCCATAAATCTCTTTAAGTTGAAAAGTGGTGAGTCCTTGCCCATTGCACTGTATGCCCCACCCTCCTCATCCTCTGTATCTGAGACCAGTTCAGCAGTTGAGGTAGTCGGGTTCCTAGGAAAACCATGTCAGACATGCTTGAGAGAGGTGATAATTAAGGATTCTTCTCCATCACTAGGGAGTCTTCTCCTTGTCTCCTCTCCTTCCTGTAAGGATATCGAGAGAGCCCTGGGAGTGTTTCCATCTGGTGTTGACCAGGAGCCTTCAAAGACCCCACCAGCCAAAACAGAGAGCAGGCATCATTCTGAAACTCCCACACATAAGTTCATGGATATACCCTCTCAGAGTGGGACTGTCTTAGAGAAAGAGAAAGAGACCCAAGAAGTCCTTTTACTGCCTAGAAGGACTAGTGTCCAAAATGCAGGGGCACACAGCCACCAGGCAAAAGTTGTTAGTGAGTTTCCACATAATGTGGAGACAGAATCAATAGGCCAGCCACAAGTCTACACTGCTGCTGTGCTCCTTCCAGAGCATTCCAGGAGCGTGCTTCTTCCTGCAGACACTTTGGCTTCACAGATGTTAGATGACATTGTGGTGGCAGGAGGAGGCAATGGCCTGGTGCAGCAGAAACCCAGTACTCCAAAGCATCAAGTCTCACAGAAGAGCCAAATCAAGGTGTTGGCCCCTACTTATCAAGGTGAGGACAGTAAAAGACAGAATAAAAGAAAGCATGAAGAAGGGTCCAAGTTCACCAGAGTCAAGGAGAAAGAAGACAAATTTAGAAGTAAACACTATCAGTCCCTTCCAAAACCCACACAAGTTCCTCCAGAAAGTCCCTTCCAAAAACTTGTGAGCCGCTTTCTTCGGTGGATTCATCCCAAGAAAACAATCAAAGGGCAGGAATCTCCTCCCAAGAAAGGTAGGCCTACAGCAGGTACTGCCCAGAGTCAACAAAGGCAAGTGAAAAAGAAAGCACACGTGGACAGCAATGTTGCTGAGGCCCAGGAACTTATGACAGCCGTTGGAGAGATGTTAGAAAAGAAAATGATGCTGCAACGTAAACTCTGTGCTTCAAAGTTTGACAAGCACAGAGAAACTCCTCCACCCCCTGTGTCTCAGTCTTCCTATGGCCACAAGCCAGCCTCCTACTCAGAACAAAGGAGAGCACCCAGTCACCCAGTCAATTCCTCCTGTCAGAAGTGTCCTATACAGGACAAGCACATCAGAGACAAACCATCTCAAAAAACTGTACGATTTATCAGTGAACCACAGACCCCTCAGAATCCTAACCTTGTGTCCCCTAACACAAGTATGAACCTAGTGAGTTCCTCCCAGAGTGGAACAATAGTGCCAGGTGTCTCAAGTCACCATCTCCACTGTCCCAGGCACTGTGTTCTTCGAAGGAGTGTCTGTAGCCACCTAGAAAATTCCTCTCTAGTTTTTTCTAGTAGGAAAACATAATCAAAAGAAAAAAAATAGTCCATGTAAAAATTATTTTTCTCACATTAGTACATTCAAGATATTTAATGTAGCCCAAAATATATGTTTTTTCCCCTTATAAAAGGGTAATGGTTTCTGTCTGTTCCATGTTTTATATGGGCCTTGTCTTCTAGCAGGGATAGACTAGAATGGGTGATTAATAGAGATAGTACAAGCACACCTCCCCAAAAACTCCTAACATCAAAACACCTTTGCCAGTGTCCAGGGAGATGGTTCTCTTGGTAAAATGCTTGGTGCAAAAGCATAAGGACCTGAGTTTGGATCTCTGACAATCATGTAAAAAACTAAGCATGGTGGTGCACATTTTTAATCCCATTGCTGGGGAGAGGAAGACAAGAGGATCCCTAGGGCTTGCTGGCTAGCTGGCTAGTCAAATGAATGAGCTACAGGCTCACTAAGTGACCCTGTCTCAAAAAAGAAAAAAAAACATTACTGAGGCAGATACCCAACACTGACCTTTAGTCTTTACACATATACGTGCACACATGCATGTCTACTTGCATGTACATGTGCCCAAACATAAAGATGACAGGATAGGAAAACTCAGAACATTCCATCCCATGATCTGCTCCAATCCACCTTTCCAAGGTGTTATTTTAACCTTAAACTTTAGGCAGCTGCAAAGACTAGGAAGACAGAGGCTTCTTAAGTCTCAAAATCTCCTCCACCCCACTCCCCAGGGCTCCAGACAGAGTCTGAGGCAAATAGCTTTCCTAGTTACAAAATAGGCATGAATTTGGATGAGGGCTGGGCATTCTGTTGTGTTCTGAGCTCAGAAGCAAGAGAAAGCTTGCTCATAGCTTTCTTGGTGGAGAATAGACTGTGCCTGCCTCTGGGAAGCCTCTCCTCCTGGGGAAAGGTAGGGATAGTTCAGCCTTAAGAAAAATTCAGTCATATGCTAGCTACCTCTAGAACGCAGAGGAAAGCACTTTCTGGGTCAGAGTGATGATACCATTCAGGGACACCACTGAAGGTCATGTCTGCCCCAGAGGAATAGTCCTATAGTTCACTTACCTTAGTCTATCTCACAGCTAGCTCAAGGCCAGAGAGGCATTCTGGGTGAATAAAGAGGGATATGATTGAGAATTGAGGACTGTAGACCGAGGGTTAGATAAAAAGAATTAACTTTGGAGGCAAAGATAGAAGCATGAAGGTGCTATAAATATGCTATGAACAAGGAGCCCTTGCAGTTCCCCTGCCACCCAGAAGCCAAGAGGATGTTAGGGGCCAAGTGGTTCATCCTAGTCACACTTGTAACCCATTTGTGGTCCTTGGTCTCAGACCTAGAGAAGCCAAAAACAAATAAAAAAACCAAAAACCAATCAAACAAACAAAAACAAACAACCCAGACTGGATTGGAATCAAAACAAATTAAGGAAGATAAATTTCTTAACCTTGCATATAATTACATCTCTAATCCTAGAAAAGATGGTTTCACAATAGATTTCAGGACTGAGGATCTTGAGATCTTGTCTGTTGTGTGTATACACCATACCAGGACTGCTACCAGTAGAGAGACAAAAATTTACAAGGGCGGAGGGGATGGCCTAGGGTCATACAGAAAATTTTACTCAGCTCTTTGTCCTTGTTTAGTTCAGAGACCAATAGGAAAGATACAATCAGAAAGGACATGCACTGCTAGTAGCTTGTCAAAATGTATTCCCTCCCCTGTATAGAAGGGTACTGAATGCTCTACTCTCCACTTCTAGCATTCCATCCTATTGGGCACTCTCCATATGGAAAATTAAAAGGAGGAGGAACCATTTGTGCAGAGAACATGTTCCAAGCTGTGCTACATACAGGACACAGAATACACACAGCTTAGAGGCCTCATACTCCTCATGGAGGGCCTTGCACCAGACTGATCCTGATGATAACAGAAATGGGCCCTGGCCTCCACAAATGGGATTAGGCTGATACTCACCTCTATGTAGGGATAGTAACCGCAGGCCCTGGGGCCTGGATGCTGATGTCACTAGCCTTCTCTTAAAGATGGGCAACCATGTTAGCCTCTAGAGTGGGACCAGCAGTGAGAACAAAACTGGGGCTGACCTGGGGGTCGGGAACTTGAGGCATAGTTGTTCTCCACCCTACAAAAGCTAAGAAGAGGGTAATATAGAGCTGGACCTTGACCTCAGAAGAGGCCGTGTCTGGCTGCTTCTGGCTTCTCTCAGGACACCAAGAGGTGAGTTCTCTGAAGTGTGGAGGAGCGGGACCAAGACCCCATGGTTCCTATCAGGAAAAGGACAATAAACTGACGATACTTGTTGAACCAGACGGAGACATTGATTCTCCATCCTCCATAAGATTCAGGAAGGCCATCAAAGTGATCTACAGAATATTCCTAGAAAGACTTCAGACAACATGGATACCCCTCACTGCCTCACATTGTTTTATAATCTGAAACTTCCCATAGTGACTTTCCACAGGAACCTCACACAGCTGAGTCCTCATATTAACCTACACAAGCCCCATGGAGATTTCTGTATGAGCTCTCATACAGAAATCTCACAGACCCTCCTTTTGAGGACTCCACAGAGACTTCAGTCACACAGAGGCCTCAATTTCATAGCTGCACCCCTTCTTACAGAGATACAGCTTAAACGTCCACAAACTACTTGTATAGAGAACTGTCCCAGTCAGCAAGTAGGGACCCACAGATACTGCTCGCAAAAAATACCCAAGGCAACACAAAGACCCCCCAATCCCTCAGAGTTCTCCCAAAGATACCCCTAGTCAACGTACAGAGATCCCAAACCACAGATTCCACCCCCAGAAAACCCCAGAGACCCACTCACAGATATAGTCAAAAAACAGAGACTCCCCAAGTCTCAGAAATCTCTCACAGAGACCGCCCCCCATTCCCTTCAGAGCCTTCTTAGGTTGTTCCAATCACTACCCTGAGAAAACCAGGGGATGTTTCCCATTTCTCTCAGGTCTAACTCAGAGAACTCATTAGAGACTGCCATAGAGACCTCCCATGGAGATGTCCACAAGAACTTCTCTCAGACACCCTACAAAGATAGAACACCATATAGACCTCCCACACAACACAGATCTCCCAATGTCTGAGGATGATTCAAATAACTCACATAGCAACCTTTCCCAGAGGTTTCAGACTTCTCACAGTTCACATAAAACCTCCTATGGAGACTCCACAGAATCCTCATCCAGGGTTCTTAGCAGAGAACTGGCCCAAGGGTCTCATACGGAAAGCTCACACATTCTGAAGCCTGAGCCACTGATGAAGATGAAACTACTTAGGAAAATGGTGCCATAGATAGGATTGTGTTGTGAGTCACTGAGAAATACAGCCACATTGTCAGCATTATACCAAATGGGATTCTCTTATTGAAGAAAGACATTTTGTTGTGGTGGTTTATTTTTATTTTAGTAGTATTTTTTTTATCTCTGAAGAAAATCTACATTAAGACCTGCAAAAATATTTCCTTTCACAAGATTTCATCAATTTGAACTTTGTCTCATCCTAGGAGGTTCTGAGGGAATGAAGAAAGGACTAACAGACAAAGGTATAGTAAAGCTTGGATTAGTTGGGATTTGCTATCACCCCAACTAGGAACCTCAATGTGTTCATTATGCACAGCACAGGGAAAGGGGTTCCCTAGTCTTGGTAGGAGGTCTCTGTAGGTGAGCAGTCTCAGACTGTAAAATTCTAGGAAAGAAAGCTGCAGTTGCTAGTTTTTGTACACAGTGATCAATTTTTTATAATCACTAATACTTAGATTCCTGAGGAAAATGTTGTCATTCTTCTAGAGTCTGGCCAACACAGGTAATGGCTTTGGAAATTTCTCATATGTCCTAGGGCCATTGCATCCTCGACATGGTTGTGTGCATGTCAACAACACACATTCACTCAGGACTTAACTCACTCAAGGGCTTCCTCCACTACAGAATTCGGACCCACAACTTAGAGAATCATACATTTTTAAACATGAATAAACTATTGTCAACTTCTAATAAAAGTATCTTGTCATTTTGTTACCATTCGCCTAAACTGTATCAGTGGCACATTTTTATATCTCATTGGGGGCAAGTTTTGAATTTGGATTGTTTTCGTCTTTCCAAAAACCTGGAGCAAAGAAACCAAAAGCAACTTAGGGGATAAAAGGGTTTATTTATCTTACACACTCAGTTGTAGTATATCATTGCATGATGGTATGTCATTGAGGGAAGCTGAGGTAAGAACTCAAGCAGAAATTTGAAGCAGAAACCATGGAAGAATGCTTCATGCTGGCTTTCTGTTTCATGCTTAGCAGGCTTTCTTATACATCTCATGACCCTCTTGTCTAAGGATGGTACCACTCACACTGGGCTGTGCTCTTCTACATCAATAATAAAGACAATGCCCCGCCCATATACTACAGTCCTATCTAATTTGGATAATCCTTAAGTGAAACTCCCTTATCAGGTGACTCTAGGCCATCAGTTCTGAATCTATGGGTTGTGACCCCTTGGGGGAGGGGGTCAAATGACCTTTTTATAGGGGTCACCTAAGATCATCAGAAAACAGATATTTACATTATGATTAATAACAGTAGCAAAATTACAGTCATGAGATAGCAACAAAAATAATTTTATGCTTGGGGATCACTACAACATGAGAAACTGTGTTAAATAATTGCAGCACTAGGAAGGTTGAGAACCATTGCTCTAGGCTGGGTAAGGTTGAAAATTAAAGCTAAGACAATATATTTTATGTTTATTATTTTAGAACCGAAAGAAAGAGGCATTGCTTAAAACACTGTTAAAATCTGACAAAATTCATCACTTGTATACATGTAAGTTCTGATAAAAATTATTATGACTGTTAATATCTGAACTGAAGAAAGTGTACATTTAATCAGATTTATATGATAGTAGCAACTAATAAAATGTCTGACTTATATGTTCATCACTTTCCAAAGGACACACTTTGGTATGATTTTGTTTCTCACATGAGT